ACACACACACACACACACACACACACACACACACACAATCAGACATTTAGGAGAAAATGCCATTTTCACTAATTATACAACAGTTGGATCTGTCATTTGATTGGTTAAGCCGGTGTTGTTATTGTTAACTGAAACTGTTCTAAAAAAAACGGTTGTGAAATGTTCGTGCCAAATACTGAAGAAGTTTGTAAATGGAAAATAATTTGGTGCATCAGCTCAAATTATAATTAACAAGTTGTGGACATAATCGTAAAAAAATTACAAAATGCTTTTATTCAAAGGCCCAAAAAGTGCAACGTGCTAACTTTTGTGTAAATCTGTAACATTTTGCCTTTGCACTAAGCATGTTGCACTTTTTTGCACTTTTTTAAGAATCGTAGCATATTGTCTTTGAACTGAGCGTGCTGCACTTTTTTGTGAACTGTTAACATTTTTCCTTTTCACTGAGCGTGTGGCTTTTTTTTTTTGGAATATGTAACGTTTTCATATTGCACTTTTTTCTAAACGTTTTGCCTGTTGTCTTTGCACTGAGCATGTTGCACTTTTTTAGGAATCTGTAACATTTTCTCTTTGCACTTTTATTAATCAGTAACATTTTGCCTTTGCACTGAGGATGTTATGCTTTTTTGTTATATTCATGTATATGCAAGCTTCTCTTGTTGGACGTATTTAAAACGATTAAAAATGCTTTTCTTTTATTGAAATACAGCTGAGATGTAATGTAAGATAGTAGTTTGATAGTGCCATATTTTGCATAGCTTACATACTATATACTGCAGAAATAGCAAATTAACTTAATAAATGCGTTTCACTAGTCATTTTAATTCGTGTTGTGATTGTTACCTGACATTAAAAATAAAACTATGAAACGTGTTTTTAGTAAATGAATTAAAGCTGAAATAAAATATAAATATTAGGTGAAAAACAAACAAAAATTTGAAATACCTAGAAAACCTAATAAAAATGTGGCACATAAAATTACTAATACTTAAAAATATTAATAAGTAATATAATAGTATATAAATAATACTAAAATGACACTGGGCTGAATGAGCCAGTTTGGTTATAGTGCAGACTATAACCAGAATTGTTAAAAAAAAAGTGACGTGACATGTGGCCAAGTATGGTGACCCATACTCGGAATTAGTGCTCTGCATTTACCCATCCAAAGTGCACACACACAGCAGTGAACACACACACACACCATGAACACACACCCGGAGCAGTGGGCAGCCATTTATGCTGTGGCGCCCGGGGAGCAGTTGGGGGTTCAGTGCCTTGCTCAAGGGCACCTCAGTCATGGTATTGACGCGCTGTACATTCACTCCCCCCACCTACAATCCCTGCCGGTACGAGACTCAAACCCGCAACCTTTGGGTTATGAGTCAGACTCTCTAACCATTAGGCCACGACTTCCCCCAGTTAGTAACCAACCGTGACTTATTATATTTGTCACTTTCTGTTGTTCACATTTATTTACATTGTTTTATTCCTCAAGCTATGTCCTTATTTTTATGATAATTACTGTAAGTATATTTAAAAGAGGAATGCTAAGGCACGTGTAGCCTTTAACATCAAATAGAAAACTGCAAATAATGTCTTTCAGTGTTTTCCTGCTAACTTTTACTTGTTCTTCATGTACTGCTGACATGAAGGCGCTGTTCGCTCAAATAAATCCTACAGTTTTACAAATGTGAAATGAGTGTGTGTGTGTTTGTGTGTGTGTGTGTGTGTGTGTATGTGTTTGTAGACCCAGCAGGCAGCCCAGAAGACAACATCTTTAGTTGCGTCTCATTAGCAAATAAACACATCTCTTCCTTTAGCTGGAGGAGTGTTGTGATTAAACTCAACACGAGAGAGCTTGTGTTTTTGCCACGACTTGAAAGAACAGAGCTGCACTGTCTGGGAAGTCAAGAGTCATTCGCTTCTCAAATAAATGCAGCCTTGATGAGCATAAGAGACTTCTTTAAAAAAAACATTACAAGTCTTACTGATCCCAAACTTTTGAACGGCAGTGTGTGTATATATATATATATATATACATATACAAATTGAACATGTTGAGATTGATTATTTTAGCATTTAATCTTAAACATGCATCATGAAATGAAGGAAGTTAAAGCAGCAGTGAAATTAATCCTTGAAATCTGCAGAATTTGCCTTGTGAAGCATGAAATGTCTCACATACACAGTGCCAATGTGTAATGTGTTTATGTATATATATATATATATATATATATATATATATATATATATATATATATATGTAGGATTCTCTGCAGATCCATCAATCAATATTGCATGATCATAATTCCCACCTTCAGTGATGGTAAATTTCTCCGTACTGACTGTAGAGACAGATAAACCATGAAGCTAATAAATATATGATTATGACAGAATATGGTTTACATGTGTTTTCATGCATTTTTGTGGCTTTTTTAAATTAGAATAAAAGATGTTTACATGAGAAACCATAAACCGGTGTTCAGTTTATTATAAAAAGCTACACATAATACAATTATGTGTCATTTTATTTTATATAAAATCTGTATTAGGTGACAATAGGATGTTATTAGAAACACTCTAAGTGAGATTTGAGCAGAAATATGTATTAATCTCACACTGTCACTCTGAAATAGATGAATGGTGCGTGTTGACTTTTTGAAAAGCCCTGCATGCATGGATTGATGCACCAGGATCACAAATCCTGGACTGTAAATCCTCTTTTTAAAGCTTATAAATAACTTGCATTCATATAGTCATCCATGCATTGACTGGGACTCAAACCTGTGATGACCTTGATGTTGTTTATCGTCACGCTCTGCTGTTTGAGCTGCAGGAACATTAACACCTATTCCAACACCTTCAGTTCTACTGACCGTCATCAACACACAAACACACACCTGCAGAAAAAACGCTTTACTGAATCACTTCATTCAGAGCTTTCACATAAATGAAAAAAAAAAAACTTAATTTTTCTTGTAGAGAAATGTTTAGATAATTTTTTTTTCAATGTTAAACACATTCCCTTATGCCAGTGTAACATGCAGAGACAGCTGCTAATAGCTTATGTTTGTGATCAGTTTGGACTCACTGTGTGTGTGTGTGTGTGTGTGTGTGTGT